TCATTTCATTTCATTTCATTTCATTTCATTTCATTCATTTCATTTCATTTCATTTCATTTCATTTCATTTCATTTCATTTCATTTCATTTCATTTCATTTCATTTCATTTCATTTCATTTCATTTCATTTCATTTCATTTCATTTCATTTCATTTCATTTCATTTCATTTCATTTCATTTCATTTCATTTCATTTCATTTCATTTCATTTCATTTCATTTCATTTCATTTCATTTCATTTCATTTCATTTCATTTCATTTCATTTCATTTCATTTCATTTCATTTCATTTCATTTCATTTCATTTCATTTCATTTCATTTCATTTCATTTCATTTCATTTCATTTCATTTCATTTCATTTCATTTCATTTCATTTCATTTCATTTCATTTCATTTCATTTCATTTCATTTCATTTCATTTCATTTCATTTCATTTCATTTCATTTCATTTCATTTCATTTCATTTCATTTCATTTCATTTCATTTCATTTCATTTCATTTCATTTCATTTCATTTCATTTCATTTCATTTCATTTCATTTCATTTCATTTCATTTCATTTCATTTCATTTCATTTCATTTCATTTCATTTCATTTCATTTCATTTCATTTCATTTCATTTCATTTCATTTCATTTCATTTCATTTCATTTCATTTCATTTCATTTCATTTCATTTCATTTCATTTCATTTTCATTTCATTTCATTTCATTTCATTTCATTTCATTTCATTTCATTTCATTTCATTTCATTTCATTTCATTTCATTTCATTTCATTTCATTTCATTTCATTTCATTTCATTTCATTTCATTTCATTTCATTTCATTTCATTTCATTTCATTTCATTTCATTTCATTTCATTTCATTTCATTTCATTTCATTTCATTTCATTTCATTTCATTTCATTTCATTTCATTTCATTTCATTTCATTTCATTTCATTTCATTTCATTTCATTTCATTTCATTTCATTTCATTTCATTTCATTTCATTTCATTTCATTTCATTTCATTTCATTTCATTTCATTTCATTTCATTTCATTTCATTTCATTTCATTTCATTTCATTTCATTTCATTTCGTTTCATTTCATTTCATTTCATTTCATTTCATTTCATTTCATTTCATTTCATTTCATTTCATTTCATTTCATTTCATTTCATTTCATTTCATTTCATTTCATTTCATTTCATTGATAAGCTCGGCATTCCAATATCAGGGAAGGAACATCTGACACAGTGTTTGTTTGGTGGCGTGCAAATGAAGTCTAAAGAATTTTCTGTATATAATTTTGTTATTAATTCGTTACATAAGAAGTCTAGTTTTCGTCTGTCAGCTCTCGGTCATCATCCATCACATTTTATTCAAGCTATCCCAAGTTAAGAGGTAGTGTATCTGGATACTATTCACTCGAATAGTTTAAATGCTAGATACCGGTTTATGCAAAAGTTAAGGACTCAATTTCGGGATCTTGCGTTGCTTGTACAAAAGGGGAATGACAAGAAGGATTCAATTAATAAGGGTGATATAGTTCTTGTCGAAAGTAGTGAGAAGAGAGTGAAACAGTGATACCGAAGGCCAGCGCGCGCGGTCTTCTGAAGGAAAGGGGAAGGAATAAGAGATAATAACTCTTCAGAACACTCGGTACAGACGATAGAACGCGCTTAGTGACGCCACGTCACGGCGTAATTAGAGAGGCTCGAGGTGTTTAGTCACCTCCTCATCGCCTATGATGCGGATCGCACGCCGCTGTAACCTATCCAAAGCATCGAGCAAGTACTTGGCGGAGCCATCCCAGAGGTGCGAGCTATATTCCACGCAAGACCGCACCTGCGTTATAAGTTCCTGGCTAACACGTGCAACGCGCTGGGCATCTGCTCTGATGTAAGTCTACTTACAGGCCTTGGAAGCAAAATTGTAGGCTGCTTTGAGTGAACGACCTCGGGATCCTTAAGAGCGCAGCCTCTGATCCGAGCACGATATGCCGCTTGCTTACGCGAAGCTGCTTCAGCACAGTCGTGATTGAACCAGAGGTTACGTGTGCTCTTACTGATGAGATCAGCATGAAGAATATAGTATTCCATACCCATTATAATCTCCTCAGTAAAAAAAATTAGATTTAGAGAATCATGCCAGAATCGCCACCACAGATGATCACATAGAGGAAGGATGATCATCATGACTCAATGGTGATGATAAGAAACTTTAAAGAACTAATTTTGTATAGTTTGAAGGCATATTTGTTATTTAAAATCTGACTGATTCAAGTTTATAATTAGCAATAAAATGTTACATTGACTTACTATATCAACCGTAAACCTAAAAGTTCATTTTACGTCGTCAGAGTCAGATGCCAAGGGAGCCAATCCGGGCACAGTGAGATAGCTACAAAAGACGCCCTGTGTGTCGTTCTTACAACATATCAACACAAAAAGCAACGATTTTAAATACCCTAGATACACCACGTGCGCTCAAAATGTGTCCCAATCAAGAAGTGCTTGAACACGACTCAAGCACTTCTTGATTCACAGTCACACGCGGACCGTTGAAAAGTCAACATGCCACTGAGCTCCGTGAAATCAGACGAAAGAAATACATAAAGAATGTAAAATGACGTTTTTCGACAGGTATCTAATCAGTGTTTGTTAATTTAACACGTTTGAAGTAAATTTTGTTTTAATCATTATTATCATCATCATCATCAGCCTATTAATGTCCCCACTGCTGGGGCACAGGCCTTCCCTATGGATGGATTAGGGATATTGGACCATGACCCACCACGCGGGCCCAGTGCGGGTTGGTGGGTGCTAACGACTGCAGATGCAACCGGGACCAACGGCTTAACGTGCTTTCCGAAGCACGGAAGAGCTCGAGATAGTAAATTTTTGGTCACCCATCTAATGATCGACCACTGCGAAAGTTGCTCAACTTCAACGACCACAGCCGAACGCGCTAACCATTGGCGCCATCAAGTTCCTCCTTTTTTTTAATACTATAAACTGATTTAATAGAAAATATTTGTGATTATCAAATGCATGGTCGATAAAATCGAAGCCGTAGAATACGATCATGTGAGCAGGGATATGGTAATAAATATCCTTGACATTATCCTCCCAGTTATTGGCCATATCGTCAATTATTCCTTTCTTACTGGTTGCTATCCAGGGAAGTCCCTGGCGTATAGTCTACGTTATTCCCATTCCTAAAATTTCCACCTCTACACAACTGCACATTTTTAGACCGATTTCCATCCTCCCATTCCTCTCCAAAATCCTAGAAGCTGCAGCTCACTATCAAATATCATCTTTTGTTAGTGAACAAAAGATGATATTTGATAGCTGAAAGAGAGTAAGTAACTGCCTACTGCTCTACTTAAGGTAACCGAGGACATCTGAGTTGGCATGGAGAACCTGTTGGTCACCATTATTGTCCTAATTGACTTTTCCAATGATTTCAATATTGTGGTGGACCTTCTACTTGCGATTCTGAAAACTCTTAATTTTTTGTCTTTGACATTGTTGAACAGAAACATTTATGCCACCGGGACTCTGAAGAAGGATCGAGTTCCACATTACCAAAGGCCAAACAGCAAAAAAAAAGAATAAAAGTTTGCTGAAAACCGACAGAACATTACCAAAAGATGGAAGAGGAAGTGTCGTCAGACAAGACAAATGTATTGCTGTAGTGAAATGGCTTGACAGTAAGCCTATTCATCTTGCTTCGACAGAAAGTGCCGTTGAGCCTTTGGGAACTTGTCAGCGATGGAGCAAGAAAGATCAAAACTACATCGTTATTCCACAGCCAGTAGCTATCAAGCGCTATAACCAAAACATGGGAGGTATTGATTTATTGGATCGCATCATAAGTAAATACCCAATGCGAGGTAGAACTGGTAAGTGGACAGTTCGTGCTATTTTCCATTTCTTCGACTTTGCTGCTGCTGCTAGTTGGATACAATATCGGGAAAATGCTGTCAAAAGCGGACTTCCAAGGAAGCGTATTAAACAATACTTGGATTTTAAAATGGACCTAGCACAGTATCTGATTTATGGACGACAAGTACCAGTTACGCCCCAATGCGCGAGTCCTTCTCTGTCATGTGTCACTCGGAATAGCCCTCAAAGTAGCCCTGTTACTGAAACAGAAAAGGAACAATTCGAAGTTGAAGCGCTGCCTTCAAACCGAAAACGTAGAGTTGTCGAACCCATTCCCCACGTTGCCAAGCGACTAAAAGAAGCTCAACACATGCCCATCGATCAAAATGTCGCTTAACTTCAATGTAATCAGCAGACCTTTGTTAAATGTTCAAGCTGCAACATATTTTTATGTTTTAATGCAAACCGTAATTGTTTTTATACTTTTCATACTTCACAATGATTTAAGTAAAGCTAAATTGTTACTTGTTAGGCAATAAAACCACTACAATGCGCAAATACCACATTTATTTAAAAAAAAAAAGTTAATTTATTTTCAATAAAAAGTTGATTGAATATAACCTGTTTTAATGTCATTTGAACCCGTTGTGTCACTGGTGACACCCCCCATTTTGGAGTATTGAGGGGGGATAGATTTTTTCACTATTTTTTTTGTTATTTGCATCACAATTAATGTTATTTCAAAAATTCATGACAAACAATAAACTTTTTGTGGTCTGGGTCTCAGAAGGTTATACAGCTTAATAAGGACAGACTGATGTTAAATTAAGTTTAGATTTTTTCAAAAGAATTAAAGTAACAATCCAATGTAACAGACTTGATTTGGTAAATATCATAAATTTTATATTTTTATTTTAAGTGCTGAACTGCTATATTTAAATATGGTACCCAGTTTATATCAGAAAAAAAAATACTAGAAAAAATTCCATGCGGTCCAGACATCAGTCAGAATTTTCTTTGGATTTACGAATAATGATAGTTTTTTGCAAAAGTTTTTTGATCCCTAGACTCTTAATATGAATACACGAAACAACGAGTCTTTTATGTAGGTAGTTAAGTACTTTTGAATTTAATAAGTTCCGCAGTTTTCCACGAAGTCGCCATCTACGCAGACTTGTGATTCTGCATCGAAAGCTAGGCCGCGGTCGCAACTCAGGAGTCGCGGTTTACCCTGCTGGCACGCAATATAGTCTCTGCAGCTCTCGCCGTACCTGTACGAATGAGAAGTTTAGTTAAAACTGTTTTTACGATTCAATAAACGCAACTATAAGTATGGATTTTGACGATTTCATGAATTTTTATAACTATTTATTCCCGAAAACAATTCACAATGCCGAGTTCTGGCTTGGTATTTCATAATGAATTGAATTGGTATTTAATTACGCATGTAATCACATATCTTTTTTTTCTTTTAACTATATTTATGTTTCCCCGTATGCAAGTATCTGGGTACATTTGAACTGGAGTTGAACTTGCGTGTTGTGTTACGAGTACCGCACATCTCATGATTTATATCCATAAGGGATATCTATTTATTGGCCTTGTATTTAAAAGAAGCTTACTAATAGGATGCTAAAGAGCCTTTGCCAGAGTTGTATTTAAGATAGGGCAGTGGTACAAACAGGTGCGTGCTGCCCTTCGTAATCTGCATTGGCTCATAATGCTCCCCCTAGCTATGGCCCTGGGGTGCTATTGGCAGTGACTTTTAACTTTAACAGGGGCGTATTTACCCTAGGGCCGGCAGAAGTAGATTTGATTAATATCAGCTATACATACTCTTAATTACTCGATTTATGAAAATAGTAAAGTAACTGTATGAAATCAGGCATCATCATCATCATCACCATCTCAGCAGTACGTCGCCCACTGCTAAGCATAGGTCTCTCCCGAGGATCTCCACATCTATCGGTCCTATGCCATGCGCATCCATCGGCTTCCCGCGATATTTACCAGATCGTCGGTCCACCTGGGGGGGTTACTTCACTTTAGCTTCCGATCGATGTCGGTTACTTTAGTTCTTCTGTGTCCTCATTTCTGATTCTATCACGCAGGGAGATACCAAGCATCGCTCTCTCCATTCGCTGTGCGACCTTGAGAATTCATATTAAACCCAAAGTAAGACACCACGTTTCACTTTTTTTTTACTTCCGTAAATTATTACTATTAGGCAATACACACTGGTCAAATAGTTTGTCTTGAGACACTGAGGTAATTTGGACCCAAAGATTTTACGTAACTTCCCGAACGCAGCTCATTCTAGTTAAAATCGAAGAGAAACCGCTTTCTCAATGTTGGACTTATCTAACTGGACCGTCTGTCTCAGGTAAACGTAATGGTCGATAACTTCGAGTGGAGTATTTCCAATTTAACTGGAGTGGATACAACATGGACAATCGACATAATTTTCGTCTTATCCAAGTTCATCTTTAGACCCACTCCTTGGGAAACACTTCTGAAATCGTCAAGCATTGTGTTCAGGTTGTCCAAGATCTCAGCCATAAGTTCTACATTATCGGCAAAGTGAAGGTGTGTTAGGTACTCGCCATTGATGTTAATGCCACAGCCTTTGCAAATCAGAAGCTTGAAAATATCCTCCAAAGCAGCAAAAAACAGGAGTTATAACATCTCACTGTCTCACGCCTCGTTGCAGTTGGATCGAATTAGAGCTTTGATTCTGTAATCGGACTGACATAGTGGCATTTTCGTAAAGGTACCTTAACACTTCTACATGCCTGTAGTCTATTTGGCACCTTTGGAGAGACTGCAGCACCGCCCAGGTCTCAATCGTAGCAAAAGCTTTCTTGGGGTCTACAAACGCCAAACAAAGTGGCAGGGTTTACTCCTCGGTTTTCTGTAAGTCTGCTTCAGCATATAAAATGAGGTCTACGGACTGAAGCCTTTTCGGAAACCGGCTTATTCGGGAGGTTGGAAGTCCTCAAACCTGCGACCAAGACGATTCGTGATAACTCTCGAAAACAACTTATAGACATGGCTCAGAAGTGAGGTTGGTCGATAGTTCTTTAAGAGTGTGCTATCACCCTTTTTGAAGAATAGAACTACCTCACTTCTGCCCCCGATTTCGGCGTTTGGCCTTCGAGGATGACGCAGTTGAAAACCTTCTGGGGGACTTTAATTATCGGCTTACCACCCGCTCTCAGAAACTCTGTTGTGATTCCATGATCGCCCGCCGCCTTATGGTTTTTAAGTTGTTTGAGAGCCGTACTAATGTCATACTGGCTGACGTCTGGGATATCTTTGGTTTAATGTCGAATAAGCTTAGCTGGGATCTTTAGCCTTGTTTTCAACTGGTGCTTGTGTGGAATATAGCTGCCGATAGAACCTCACAATCTCCCTCAGGATGCAGACTTATTTGTAATATCGCCAGTTTTCAGCTTCGTTAGTTAACTTTGAATCCATGAAAGCAGTATTAGGGTCAATTTATAGAGATCAGATTTCATTGTTGTTTTGTTAATTAAAATAATAGGCTAACCTGTATTTAAAAATGAAGTTGTACTCATCTCCCTCTGTCACAGCTGGGCATGTGAATCCTTGAAACACTGGAAAAACATTCATAATTTGAATAACTTTTTACTTGGTTTAAGTTATTATTGTTTCAAACTCGTCATATAATAGGTAATTTTCTATATCATCTCTTTATGAGGCTTAACAATAACGCCTATGGAATAAAAATATGAAACTTTTATCTGTTCCGTGGGAAAACCAGTGGAGATACAAAGGTGTATAGGAAGGTACACCTTTTATATTTTTTAAAAATTTCGCACTATGTTTTTTTTTCCACTCTAATAATGAATAACGCAATCAAACAAAAAACTTAAGTTTTGAATACTGGTAGCTAGAGTGTGTATTATAAGTTATTTATGGGAAGAACAGTTTCGAGTGAATAGTGAGAATATGAACAGTGGTAGGGGTATAGTACACAGTAAAAGACTTCTTCGGAGGGTATATGTTTGCCAATAACAACCTATCCGCAATTACTCCAGTTTCTCCGTGATGTCATGGCGCTTGCAACAGTGGCAAAATATCGGAAACTCGCTTAAAACAAGGTACATAGTAACAATCCCGTAAATAACTTATGTTACTATAATATTTTATATATTTAAAAAGTATTTTTTCTTTTACTATTTAGAGTTTATATGTATTAGTTTTCTATGTCATATATTTAACTTCCTTTCCAAATGAAAAGTTACCTATAGCTTACATGTTCATTTTGTTGTTATAGGGGGTGACAACTAAGATTTTTCCAAATGAAATCCCACTCGTCACACAGGATGTATGGGATTTTATTCTGAAAAATTCTCCTCACTGCGCAGGGGACAAACTGGTGGTGACGAGTGGGAATAACCGTTCCATACCTTTTGGTCTACATGATGGGACATTAACAGGCCAATCACATGCGCTTTCCTCGGTATTAAATACTAGTCCAAGAGGGCAACTCATGAGGTTAGCTTTGCCTTCGTGGCACATAATATATTTGCTGCATTCGTCATCCTTTAGAGGGAACACGCCGAATCGGTGAGGGCAATCACCAGTTGGTTGAGGATCATCTGAAACAGAGTTATAAACTTGTTCCTACTTATAATCTTCTATCTTCATATATATAATTCTTCTGTGAGTGTGTATGTCACTGAACTTCTCTTAAACGACTGGACCGATTTTGATGAAATTTTTTGTGTGTGTTCAAGGGGATCTGAGAATGGTTTAGATTCACAATTCTGTCCGCTGGACAACCCCTATTTTTTTTAGGGCGGTACGAAGTTCGCTGGGTCAGCTAGTATTTAACTAAAAATTAAAAGCTGTTCGTTAGTCTCGCTAAAACTCGAGAACGGCTGAACGGATTTATCTTATCTTGGTCTTGAAATGTTCGTGGAGGTCTAGGGAAGGTTTAAAAGGTGAGAAAATATGGAAAAATTGCGAGGAAGATAGTAAAAACGTCAATTTATTTTTTCCATATAAACTGTTCTATCTTCTTTCCTGACATCTGACGTTCGTCCCTTTTGGTACGGTAGACTCGGGTCCATCATTTCTTCCAAATTATTTTAACCCGTACGAAGAACGCGAGGTCAACTAGTTTCTAATATAATTATGACAGTTTATATTTATTATCCAATCTCGTAAAAACAGTTGTTAAACCCTTTTGTTTGAATGTGACACACAGATCGTAAAATTTGTATTAAAACACAGGATACTCTATCCCGGGTAATTGTTAAGTTTGTGTGAAATTATTAAAAAAAAAAAAATTGTAAGCAGTTGGTGTTGGGTGAAAAACTGATTAAAAAATAAAAAACTCGACTGCTTAATTATTCTTCAAATAAAAACTGAAAAGAAAAAAACAAGTCCAGTAGTCTATAATTCTGTTAATAAGGAACAAAGATACTTTAACAGTCGGGACCCACTGTTGAAAAATATTATGTATTCTTGAATATCTAATGGGTCCCGACTGTTAAAGTAGCTTTGTTCCTTATTAACAGAATTATAGACTACTGGACTTGTTTTTTTCTTTTCAGTTTTTATTTGAAGAATAATTAAGCAGTCGGGTTTTTTGATTTTTAAATTTACCTTTTTTATTTCACACTTTTTAGTTAGTATTTTAAGACGGTATATACCGTAGTATTGTTACTTCAGTAAGGGAATTAATATCGCGGGAATTATTAAGTACCTTGCGTCGGTCTAAAAGATTGATTTATTAAGACATATAAAGACTTTACCAGCGGGGTCAGGGCTACAGATGGGCCTCAATTTTCGCAAAAATGTGTGAAGTTAAATCAAGTCGTTACATAAATGTCTCTAATGTATGTAAATTTTATAGTAAACTAGCACTTACTCAAAAAGTCATCTTTTGTTTATGTTTTTTTTAATAGTTTAGCAGTAAATATAAAATTCATTTACTTTTATTCGTCGACTATTTAAAATTGGCAGTGGCTGCATTGTCATGTCAATGCCGGACGTCTAAGATTGTGATATACACAAATTCAGTGTCAGTCCCTAGTCTCATAATTTGATATACCTACATAATTCACAGAAACCCAATATGTAGATGCCAGAAGTTAACTTCAAATGTTTTTAATCACCCTATATACAATACCAATCAATGACGTTTATGTCGCAGGTTGAAGAAAGAAGTAATTCCCGTCTGTTGTTTTGGACAATGGTGGCAACTGCCTTAGAGAACTAAATTAAATAATTATGCAATTACCAAAGCAAAGTTTATAATATTTGATTAAACTAAAGGCGCATAATAAAATTTTCATAACGTTAGGTAGAGAGCACCATAGCAATCTCATTTATTATCAATTTATAGTTCTCTTTGTAGTTTTCTTTTAAAGCGTTCACATTTAACAGGTCAAAGACTTTGTGTTCGACCCTTTTTTATTGGTAGTGTAAAACTAGAATGAAGAGTACTCCCAGTAGTGCAATCATGGCAATTAATTTCCAATTTTTTTTTTGTTATTAACATACCGAATAACGTATCACTGTTAAGCACAAATGCTAAGTAACTTTTACAAATATAATCAAATAAACCTATTTCTTACTTTATTTTTAAATCTTTTTCATCAATTAAATACTTATCTTATCCTAACTATCTATACTAATATTATAAAAAGGCAAGATTTGTATGTTTGTAACAAAAATCTGTCAAACTACTGAACCGGTTTCAAATATTAATTCATCATAAGGTAGCTACATTATTTATTATAACATTTTTCTTTATTTAAATACATTTTGTCCGAGTGACATAGGCTATATTTTATCCCGATAAATAAATTTCGCCCGTACAATGCCCGGGTGGATCACTAGTAAGTATAATATAATATTATAGATGCGAAAGTGAGTTTGTTTGTTGCGCTTCCGTGCCCTAATAGCTAAATCGAATATAATGAATTCCCATATAGAAGTACATGGGAACTTGGTTCTTAGCTACAACATCGCAATACTTGTAGGCGTAGGGTGATGAAAGGGGTGATTTACCTATAAAAATCTACATTACTTACTTTGAATTTTGCAGATTATTACAAAACCAATATTATCGCGAGCTGATTAATAAATACAGGGATTCCAATAAGTATGTACTTACTAGCGAAAAATGGGTTATTTGTCATTATATTAAGTAAACCTTTTTTGTAACCTTAAGTAATATCGTTAAAAAAATCAAAAACAGTAAATTTCTGAGCTTTTCATTAAAATTCAATAATCATAAATACCTATTATGATAATATATTTTTCATCATTTAATAAGAAGGAACTGTATCACAGTTTTAATGTTAGTACTTCGTATAGGATTAGTTACTGCGAATACCCCATTTTTTTTTCTTTTACATAGTACACCGCGCTATCACTTCGTCATCGTTGTAACTTTTTAAATATTTGTCGAAATGACATAGTGTAAAAAGCAAAGTTTATCGTCTTTAAATATCAAAAGCGATTAAAGTATTTGTTTTGATAAAAAATGATTTGTTAATACAAAATGTGCATTTTGGAAATAGATATCAAATAATATTTTAGTTTTGATTCACTATTTTAGCGGTAATGACTTACACATTAAAAATAGATATATGGTGTCACGGACTTTTTTCAGAACTATTTAAGAGATACATTTTCACTGTACATTACATTCATGTAACTTTTATTGTTTTTGCAGTGCAGGCCAAAATGGCTCGCAGATGGGACATTTTTTTCCGTCTTATGTGACACTTATTGCTATATATTGGCCAATTCACTCAATAACTACATAAATTATTATATATATGTAATTATCATATATGAGCTATATTACTGTTAAGTTTCATTAAAATCCATTCAGTATTTTTTAGGTGAAAGAGTAACAAAGATCCATACAAACGTAAGATTGAAATTAAAAGCGTAAGTGGTTAATATACAACTTTAAAGCGTTGTAGATCCTAAACAATCATATAAAATGAAAAATGGTGTTAGGAACCTAAATATGATTTTTGATTATCTAGACAGTGATACCCCACTCGACATATTTTGTCAACTTCTTTTTTTTTTTTACTTCGTCACAATATGGCGCCTAATTTGGCCCATATTGAATTTTGATTACTATCATATCTTTAGTAGCACTCCCATGATTGAGACGAACCAATTGATGTATGAATCATCAAAATCGGTTCAGGCGTTTGGTCTCTAGTGTGCCACAAAGGAACAAACATACATATATAGACTGTTAAACACATAACCCTGTCTGCGCGTCGCGCTTCGCGCTTTTGCATTGCGCAGCCGGGTAATAAGTATATCATTACCGACTAGAGAAAATTATCTTCTGTTCCTTAATCATCAATCCAAGATTTTGGTTTTATTTCAATAGTGAGCACATAATTTATGGAAAAAGTATGTATCATAACTACTTACTTATTCTATAATTAGCTTGACATTCTACTTCCCATGGATAAGAGCAAGGATACTCTGGCCATATTGCCTTGCGGTTAAAGTGAAGACCATCAGGGCACGTAAACATAAATGGCATGTATTTCTGTGAACATAAAAGGTTAATTACAACATTGAATAAATAAATCCATTAAACATTATTATAATGAATGTTTGGATTGTTAATGCTTACTTTACATTCAATGTAACTATCACAATCGTTATTCATACTATAATATCCATTAGAATTTTTGCATTCGTAATCAAATAACTGCGGGGAATCGGCGTCGTTAGGGTTTGATTCAAGATCTTGTAGTAACGGGCTTTTTAGTATGAATGAACGCAATTTGTGTGGCGGATTTTTTATAACTTCAGGACGTATAGCTGTAAATCCTTTAGGAAATTTAGGTATTTCCGTGGTTTGGGGGCTCAACGTATTTGGCGCAAGAGAAGATAAGCGTTCGCGTCGTTTTTCAGTAATCATAGCATTTTCTTCTTCTTCGTTTATTGTTTGTGTCGTTTGTTCTTCGTTTACTTTTGTATTTTGTTCTTGGACAGTTTTTGTAATTAGTTTTGATTCTCTTCCTATCAATTCTGATTGGTATACTTCATTAAAATTTGTATTTGACTTTCCTGAAGCCTTTTCATTTTTAATGTCGAGTACAAGGGGAATGGTTACAACAACTTCAGATTCATTTAAGTTTTTGTCTTCTGACTCTTGTTTTTCGTCATCTCGTTGGTAGTCTATTTGGAGCTCTTTATTTGGATCCATAGCAGCTTCCGTACGGAGTCCTGTTTTTAGAAATGAAGATGAGGTACTCGGATTTAATTGTGGTGGACTCGTGGATGTAACCTTTTCATCTGTGATTACTACAGGTATTTGAAACGGTTTTGATAACCAAAGTTGTCTTGAAGGTAAAGGTGTGGGTATAGATACAGATACCTTAGGCTCTTCAGTTGCTAAAGAAACTGATTCATCAATTTTGATTAAAGAATCTGTTTTATATGAAGGTTCATATTGTGAGACCATTTCATTTTCTTTTTTATTAATTTGTTCCTCTTTCTTTTCTATGTTTTCATAAACATTTTCAGCAGCAATAACAGTAGATATTGATTTAAGAAGTACATCAGGCACCGGTTCAGGTGAAGCAACTGAATCTGATTCAGATTTATTTATGTTCACAGATCTTGATCGGTCAAGTGGTCGGAGTAAAGTTCTGGAAGGTAATAAAATAGTAGTTGCTTGATCTGGATTTTCAGCTATCGGGGCGTGGGCTGATTTTTCACGAGTCTCATTATTTGCTAGTTTTCCTATAGGTATTTTCGTATCTAATGTATATGCAGCGTCCCATTTTGTATCATGCGTATATTCTGGAGACCTTGTTTGTGGCAGAACCCTTATCCGACTCGGCGGAGGAAGTGGTTTTGCCATTAAGACATGTCTTTGGTGTGGGAGTTGAATACCAAGAGGTTTTGGCGTAATGTCTTGATGTTCAGGCTGCGACTTAGATTCCAAAGATGCTTCGTTAAGTTCTTCATCATCCCTGTTCCTTTTTTCTTCCACTTTTAATGTTGTTTCAATAGTTGGTTTTGTTATAGTTCTTGGATTCAAAGAAAGCAGACGAGACGATCTATATGTATTCCATCCTCCCTCGTATGAATCTAACGCGTGCACTATAAATTGAAGAAAGCAATACATCGGTGGTTGAAGAATAATAATCAATAATAAAACTATAAAACTAAGTAATTCATACATGGTCTCTTACCGTTCACTAGAGGCATTAATATTAAAAGAAACATTAAGCACGTCATGGTCTATGTGTTGATTTATAAGAATTATAAAATGAACTTTGATGAAGCGGTCCAGACACTTAAATGATATATGATTTTAAACAACGAATTTATATGACATTTTTGACAGTGAAAATTTGATTGTTTTAATAATTTTCGTCATTAGTTAACGATTATTCAATTTCTATTTGACATAGAGATTTGCGGTTAACCACAGGGTAATTAAGTATTTTGAAATTGGTGTTGGAAGATCCTTTTACTTTTTAAGGATGCATGATTAATCATCATCATCATCAGCCTATTAATGTCCTCACTGCTGGGGCACAGGCCTTCCCTATGGATGGAATAGGGAGATTGGGCCATGACTCACCACACGGGCCCAATGCGGATTGGCGGGTGCTAACGACTGCAGATGCAGCCGGGACCAACGGCTTAACGTGCCTTCCGAAGCACGGAGGAACTCGAGATAGAAGATTTTTGGTCACCCATCCAATGACCGACCATTGCGAAAGTTGCTTAAATTCAACGATCGCAGCCGAACGCGCTACCCACTTGCGCCATCGAGCTCCTCTGCATGCACGAGCATGATTCATGCCGATGAGACTAGATTCCAGTAAAAAGTTAGAGTGGTTAAGAATTCTGTTCAGAATTCAAAGAATGTATATTTCGTGGTGCTAGACTTACAACTACAAATACTACAGGCACTTTGGCATTTTAGGATAATTAATGTAAGTTTACGGCATTGCCATGTGAGGCTTATCTTCAAACAAATTACCTCATTAGTCAAGCGCTATTACTAACATGTTGCAGGTGAAACTATAGTAAATCATCACGCTCAATTTTATTGTAATTATAATACCTGCTTTTAAATTCTTAAATAATGTTTGTGTTCAAAGAAGTAAAAAACTTCCTGGCGATATTAGCATTGATGGATACTTTGAAGCCACATAATTGTGAAATGGAAACGAAAATTATAGGTGGAAGTTTTACCACGATTAAACAGTTTCCACATGCTGTTTTTTTAAATGTATATTGTAAAAACGTAAATTGGGTATGTGGAGCTTCAGTTTTAAACCAAAAAATTTTGATAACAGCAGGTCACTGTCTTAGTGGCTGTGAAATGTGGGCAGATAGAATAGACGCCTTTGGGGGCAATGAAGATTACACATCAAAGGTAATACTGATTCTGTTACAAATAACTAATAATTTGTAAAAATAATTAATATAATATTTTACAATTTGGTTAACATTTGTATACTTAAATAAAAAATAGTATGTAAATACGATATTTTAATAAATTTTGCAATGACAATGCTTTACTAATTTAGACCGAGAAAAAAAACCACGGCTGTTTCTAGCTAAGACTCGAAAGCTATGAAGTCTTAAATGTTTATCATTAAGAAGTTTATATTAAGTGTCAAAGCAAAATAATTAAAATGTACTCTTATCAATATCAGATGTAACATACATATGTAAAAACTTATGCAAGCTACAAGTGAAAGTTACTTTGAGAAAGATGAGAAGATTTTGCTTGAAATTTCTAAAATCAATTAATTATGCTTAATTTATGAATAAATCTTTTGAGGGCTAGTTTAAAAAAAAGGTATCACAATCGGGCATAGGGCCTCCGAGACAGTCAAACAGTTTGATTCAAATCTTGCTTGTTTGCTTTGATTATTTACTCCCAAGATAGAGCGTGGCAGCGCAGATGCGTTGAAAAAAATATCTCCCACCTGGTGGGGTTTAAGTCGTTTCTCTTCACTTAGTGTTCAATGTAACGCTTAGCGAAACGCATGTCAATCACCTAGTTTTGTGTTGAAATTATTGCTTAAAAATGCCGAGCTGCGCGTTAAAAGTTTGCCGAAATTATAAACGACGCATAGAAACAACCAACAAAGTCACTTACTATCGATACTCATTATTCACCTTAAAAAAAACTATAACATCATATTAATTCAAAAAAATACGAATCAAATGGATCGAACGATCTTAAAAATTCCCCATAAAAAGTAAGTATGGCGTAATCAAAAGTAAATATAGAGTTCCAAAAATCAAGAAAGAGCTTCGATTAAAAAAATACTGATGACGAACAAGTGAAGTCTGCAATTTCTACCTGTTTTCAGGGGCTTGACAAAAAGTAATATTTTTTTGCGATGGTATAAATAAGTCATTTGAAAGGTCTGAAAATTTTATAAGGTTAAAGGGAAAATTCATTTAAAAGGATAAATAATTTCATTTTTAATTTCTGCCATCTCCTTCATCTCGAGCATTGTGCGAAACGAAAAACATACGGTTCTATCCTAGTGCGTATGTAGTATATATTACTGATAGCGATATCTAGTCTGGGAGCTGAGTACAGTTGAACCCCACACGGGCTACATTGTGAACACTGCAGGTTAATATAGTCACCCAGAGGCTTAAGTCTTTAAGTTAAGATTAAAATTCTTTCCCATCATTTCGCTGAGTATATATTTTAAACTGTTTTTGTTTACGTATCTGAATAAAATCCTAAATTTTATAAAACTTTTAAAAATAAAAAGTTGAAAATCTATACGATATCAAAACTTACATTGTTAAAATCACAAGTCTAAATTAAATCTAATTTAAATGTCTATGAAACGCGATTTTCAGCCCACTGTGCGCCGCCGTAATTAGACATGTGATTGTGACGCATTGTGAGATGCCCTCGAACAAGGATCGCGATTTTCACGTATTTATACTTTAATAAACTGCCTTTTTCAAAAGGAGATCAAATATAATATCAAAAGGCGCGTCAAACGCAAAAAAATATGAAATTCCACCAAATATGTTAATGTTGACAAAACCATGCAAGCTAGGTTTGTAAACGATCAAAATGGTTTGAGTCAAACAAAAATTTGCGTGTTTGAATCAAACCATTTGATCGTCTCGGGGTCCTCAAATGGTTATCTTTTTATTCGAGAAGACATTAAGTAAAATAACACTACCTTTTGGTGGTGTCGTGTTTCTGTCGATGAGGTTCTAGGGCTCCATGGGGTGGGTCAGGGTAGGTACTTAACGGCGTGAGTGATATTTTTGGGGTGTATTCCGTATGTATACCAGTATACTGGTCAGTGCTAATGACGTCATCAATCGACGTTATACTGGTGAATTGTTACGAAATATACTGGACAGTAAACTGACTTCATAAATCGACGAAATATTAAAAATTGTGCGAATAAAGAAGATTTGTTATTCACTTCATCAATTAAAAGGAATTCTTTTTGTTTTGATACCAATAATGTTCTTTTAAAAAAAAAGAAATAAAATTCGAATGCATTTCACGCACGCTCGGTCATACGTCATATTCGTTTTCCCGGTAAAAATATGGTAGCATACCAGTACAATATGGCGTCGGATTCGTGACGTCAGTACCATTGACCAGTATGTATATTTCGGAATACACCGTTGGTATCGAAAGTGTCTATAAGCTATGGTTGCCGCTTAACATCAGGCGGGCCATAATATGTTTGTTTGCCACCCTTTCGACATAAAATTTTAATACAACACTTTCCTCCTTTAGTTAGCTGTTTTTAGAAAATTTATAAGGATAGTACAAATTGGATACGACGAGCCTACTATTTCTTTCGAGATTCGAAAGGACATATAATAAAGAAACACTACCTTTTGTTGTGCTTCTGTCAATGAGTGAGGTACTAGGGCTCCACGGGGTAGGAAATTAGGCCAGGGTAGGTGATATGGTGTGAGTGATATTTCTGGTAGCAGAATGCATCTATAGGCTATGGTGCTTGCTTGCCATCTGGTGGGTCATACGTTTGTTTGTCACCCTTTTAACATAAAAAACCGTTAATTCAATACTTTCCTCTTTTAGTTAGCTGTCTATAGAAAAGTTATGAGGATTAGAGTACACTCTGAATACGACGAGCGAACTGTTTCTAACGATATTGGTTTGGCTCTGGTGAATAGAAACTTTGATCTCAACAACAATGTAAAACGATTGATTGTTCCTGTACAATTTCCTAATTACAAAACTGGAACAGTAGCTGGCTGGGGAGTTACAAATGTGAGTGTTACTCGAATATTTTTATTGTACACTTTATTAGCTCTAACAAATCACACAACTTCTCTTATCTTAATAGTAAAAGAAGTTTCAATTTGCAATCTCGAAACTCAAAGAAACGCGTTAAGCCGCGATGTTAACAAGCGGAATGGAATTAAAGCAGTTGGTTCAGTTTCAAGTTTAAAATGCCCAAAAAAATTCTCACCATCACCGTAGGAAAGGGCTACGCTCCGGCTCTACCAGCGCGATCGAATCAGAAATGATAAGACCCGCAGAAAACGAAGGCGTCGCTCGTCCTAATTGACAACGATCGCACGAGGACACGATGTCTCGTTCTCGTCGTGCAATGATTTTCAAACGTAAAGATTTCTTCAGAATGTCCTAATACAGCTCGTATATAAATAAGCCGTCGCACAGGTACATTACTTTGATCGCTTAATAATAAAAATGCGCTTTAAAGATACCAATTTAAAAAGGATTAAATATATAAAGATATAAGATATATAATAAATACTTGAAAAAAAGGATTTGATATCATTAGGGTATACAGCAGTTTAATTTAATACCCTATACAGCGGTTTAAGGTCTTCAAATGAAAATGGTTTCTAAGGGTTAATCATGGTTAAAATATTGTCAATCAACATATATAAGGTGCCTGTGAGCCTGTGTGATCTTATTGTTCTCGGTAAACTATTTTAATTTAGGTATTAAATATTCAAGATTCGGTTACAGTACTTACGCTGAAAAAAATCGATTTCCAAATATATGGGCGACACTTTTCATGTTTTATGTTTTAGAATTGGTCCGGAGGTACAAGAGTGTTAAAGTCGGTGGCCCAAAATATAAGAACTCGCGATATTTGCCGCGCCATATACGGATTTAAGAGTGGCATGCTTTGTGCTGGAAGTAAGGAAAAGAATGTTGATCAACCTGCATCGTAAGTTAACTATGAAGATATAATGCTTAGATTAACTAAATAATTGACTTTAATCGAAGTAGGTAATTGCAATTATGTTTTTTGTTGTTTGTTGTTTTATCTGTACCCCCATAGATATGGGAAATATTTGCTCTCAACCAAGTTTTTACACGGCTTAAGGGCTTTACGCACTATACATCTTGCTGGATGCAAGCAATTACAAAAACATATCTTGCTGAATCCAGCATTCGGGACAGCACTATACATGTAAAATAGATCCCTTTCCCTTTTACGTGTAGATATAGTGCTGCCATGCATGCTGGATCCAGCAAGATGGAGAGTGGGTAGAGGACTTATACATCCTGCTGGATCCAGATCTAGAGAATTGCTATTATGTCGAATTAGCTTGAATGTTTGTTTGACTATTTAAATTTATCTAATACCAAACTTTGATACAAGATGGTAACCCATAATCGTCCGTGCCATAGCGGTCAGACGTGATCAGAAAGGTAATGATCTTTTGATTGCCGATCTTCGTTTGATATGTATTAGTAGTTTGAAGCTTTGGTTTTCTTTGTCCATAATTCCATGTTATGAGTCACCAGCCGATATATTTTGCGAGGTTCTTTTCCTCTTAAGGCATTATGTGGACTGAAACTATAATGGTGATGTTCGAGGACAAAACATGCAAAAAACCGTCTCAGGGCGAGCAAGTAAAGTACCTATCAAATCTTGTGAAATGTTTAATTCAAAGTGATGGGTTTTTTTACATTTTACTACTAGAGTTGGTTAGACATAGCTTATCTTTTTGATTATAAAAGTTCAAGACAAACTTAGAGGTACACATTTTACGAGCCCTTAATCGGTGGTGAATGCGTTCCATGAAATTATTGAAGAGATCCCAGACCTAAGGAAGACTGATCCAATTGCTTTGTAATGTTTGATTGATTGACAGATGATTGTGTGCTGAATACGACCATATTTGTACTCCAGTCATGGTTTTAATATGTATTTCTAAATACTAATACTTACTACTTCGTATCGCCGTAAAAATTTGGGTGGTAGAAGGGTGAAAATTTAGGGTTGTATGTATTTTTGTATGATGTATCATAAAAATTTAAAAATTATTGTGGACCATTAGTTCGCGATTGAGTTTGATCTCAATTATTGTAAGCTTTGAAAATGATAGTGACAATCAACATTTTGAGAAAGTACTTTGTCCGCCTATACATTTGCTACACCGTATTATAGTTATCAGTGGGAAGCGGGGTTGTTACCATGTAACTTGTTTTTGGTGAGTCCCCGATGTTTCGGCAAGTGCCGTGATCACGGAGTAGCTGAAGTAATTGTCATCATCATCAGACTGTTAAAGTACTGCTGGGGCACAGGCCTTCGCTATAGAAGGAATAAGTAGGGAGATTGGGCCATGACCACAGCCGGTACCAACGCCTACCGAAGCACGATGGAGCTCGAGATAATTAATTTTTGTTTACCCATCCAATGACCGAGCATTGCGAAAGTTACTTAACTTCTGCTATCACAGGCTGGACGCGCTTTCCACCTGCGCCATCGAGCTTCAAGTAATTGTGGCTAGCTTTTGTTGGCAGACTTAACGGTCAACCCTCTGACGTAGTCTTTTATTGCGCTCGTACCCATACCACTGATCAGATTCTCATATATTCTCATGTTCTCACTACGCACTCGCCCCTGTTATCGACACACAACACTCACAACGTTCGAACGCGAAACGACACTTTTTTTAATTTTTCTGGTTTCGTACGTTACATTACCTACCTACATACCTTACCACTGGATTCCCAGACTCCAGAATTGGGGGTTCACCAAAAACAATGCACAGGTAGTAATGTACATTTATAATGTTAGTGACCATGAACGTTAAAAATAATCGTTTGGAAAAGTAAGCAATTGGTGCACTGTGTATTTAATTTTGACCCAGTGTATCATGTGAGTTTTTTAAACTTTAACCGCCATATTACAAAACGTTCACAAAAGTTAAACCAGGTCTAAAAATTATATTGTCACCTTTGTTTGCTAATGTAAAGACAGGGACAACATTTGTGTTGTGTTTTTGCTGGTACACTTTCTAGTGTAATAACAACAGTGTTTCTGCTGAAATACAACATAAAGGTTGTCTAACTTAAGGCGTCCATTAGACGGTAGGTTTTGCTGGCAAGGTTATGACTGTTGGATAACTTATTGTCTAATTGGGTGACTGATGTCTTTTAAGTTACCACCTTTTTTATTATTCATGGTTGATGGAAGTAACTGATGGCAGCAAGAGCGGCTTATGTCTACGTTATGTAATAAGAGACCACTGGACCAACTTTTTTATTTTTTCGCAGGGGGGACTCTGGCAGTGCCCTAGTCTCATCAAATTATCAACAAGTGGGGATGGGATTGGTGTCCTACAAAGATATGAGATGGCCAGCTTTGATTGTTTATTCCAACCTCACGTACTACCACCGTTGGATCACGACGTATTCCAAAGCATTATATTGCAATTATTAAGCGATTAAATAGTCGAAAGATGGATTGAGCAGTATGTTTTTCTCTAGTACTATATTGTAAATTTTCTACCTTATAAGCATACAAAATCTTAAATTGTATTAATAGATATGGTGAGTTAAGTACAATCAGACAATTTGATTCCTGACCCACCATAAGGTTATTTCAACAAAATAATGTAGATTTTTGCTTAAATGTACGTATCCCTGGAATCAAAACTTGCCACTTTCTGAATCAACATATTTGACTTGACAGATTTTGCCGCCTTCCTGTGACATAATTATTGAAAAATGAGAAATTATTTGTAGTTTTGCCCATGGATTATAAGGATTTCCCTATTAGTTCACCACAGAGGTTTACCAACGTTTTTTATAATGTCAAGAAATCGAAAGAGTTTATGTTAGACTTTCGATTTCAAAACTGATTTCGAAATTCAAACTACTATTCCAAATTTATCTATACCATGATCTATTGCATTAAGAATTAAGAAAAAAAATGGGTGCGTGTACTTATGTAGGCGCGTGAGAAGTTATCCTTCTTTGGCATCGTTTAAAATTAGTTTTTAGTTGCATGCAAATAATTAATTACAATAAATTAATAAAAAGTCTGGAAAAGGACACAGTCAATAAAGTTCAGTTTTAATTTGAAAAAATAAATAAATAATCAAAATATTCAATTAAAATCGCTACTGAATATAATTTATTAGAACATATGTGATTTGCACTTGTATGAAACTCAAACACGTATTCCAAATATACAAACTAGAAACATGTGGATAAATATTATAAATATGAATACCTATAACTGTTACTTTATTACAAAAAGGTCAAGAGATGGCGCTGTAGTCTCCTGAATCGAATCGCGCTTTGGTTCCGTTGTTCCAGATTAATAAATACTTTTGATAGGCCTTCACAATGCAGTCGTTAGCACCCCCAAAATAGAGATTTTATTTCTATTTTGTTGGTAGATTTTCTTAATGTGCGGTAAACACAAAAGTAACAGCATGAAGTTGGTCGCTAAAGCGACCAACTTCATGCTGTTAGTTTTTTGTGTTACAGTGATGCGCGCGCATCTTAAAATTTCACTCTCATCATTTTTTCATAACGCGCCTAAAGAAGTATAACTTGTTATACTTCTATAAAAAATCAAATATATTTTAGCCATAATAACACAGTTGGCCTTTTTGGCGGGATCGGAAAGCGTCACTTTAGCAGTTTTGTTTTTCTTGTTAAAATTTGTGTTGTGGCGGATAATTAAAATTTGTGTTGTGGCGGAATAATGGTGGATTATTAACCACTAAGTGTTCGGGAACATGCAAGTGTTTGCAAGTGAAACAAAATAGCGGAAAGTGTCTTTCGACGTTCCCACAAGAAGTCCACGGGGAGGTTCCAGTAAATCCCCACACATTTACTGAAACACAGGGGAAGGGGGATTGACTTGACTGCCACTTACTTTGACTTGATATAATACTTTGACCACGAGTGCTATAGAATTTGTAAACATTTTTAACACTTGACATTGGCTAAATGCACAAGCCGAGCGAAGCCATTGAGAAAAAAAAATTTACATAGTTTCTTTGTTATTAGTGCAATTACGTATTCTCTACAAAGGAAAACTTGTCTGTTTTGACATTTTTATCGAATTATCAAGCAGGTTTGATCGTACCTACCAAATCGTAGCTATTGCATCGTCAAAGTTTTTATGGAAACTAAGCAGCGCCCCTACCGTGCGTAAGATCAAACTGGAGCCAGTTCCACAGGAAATTTGATGGCAATACGCTTACGGATATGACAAAGTTCGTGCTTAGGGTTTTAGTCTTTAAACATCAAATCGATGATTTGGGTTGTCATTAATGGAGACAAAAAGATTTTATTTATAAACTTGATATATAAATTTGTGAAACTTATGCCTAAACATTTGCGTAGTTACAAACGTCTTCTTCAGCGAAACAAAACAAGTTCTGTGATCTTTTCATATTAATTGTAGACAATTAAAATTAACAAATTCTCAGTAGATTTGCCAAAGCTATTTTGAATATCTAAGTCTTAGCTACAATTCTCAGAGTGAATGTCTAAAGCATTAAGTCCGCCATTTGTACATCAGTTTGTGCAACGAAGTTAAAATAAAATAAAAATACATTTTATTTTTGCTTTTTAATATTCAATGATTATTACTAAAGTAGTCAATTGGTGTATCAACTCAACACTTGACTAAGTCGGCGTCCACGCAGCGTCCAGCCTCGGGGTCGAAGGCGAAGCCAGCATCACACATTAACAGTCGGGCGTGACCCTCTTCGCATGAGAAGAACGCGTAACAGTTGCTTTCGTATCTGCAAAGGAAATCAATATTAGGCATCTTGCGTACGATTATTCTGCTGTTATTTTCAACGCTTCTGATCCCCTTAATATTCCTCATTCAAGACCGGATATAAGGCAGGACAGGTGGGTTGTAGTTCCTGAGCTTTCACAATACGCTCCCGTTGGGTGCTTCCACTCTCTCGTTACACTATGGTCTCCATATCACTTAATCCGGCCGTGCCCTAATTCTTATATAGATAGATCAACAGCCAATAGCATTCCATCTCTACAATGTCTACTTAATACAAGGCTCTCTATGTTTCCGAATCATGAGCACCACTTTAATCGCGTTTAACTGTCAAAGTTCATAGTAATTTGACAATTGATCGTAATAAAAAAAACGAGCTTTATATCATAAGTAGAGGTACTAATTATACTTACTTATAATTGACGATAAGAAGTTTGCCATCTTTGTCAAGAGGCGCAACCGGGCACTTGAAACCGAGGTATGCTGAAAAAATACAAAACATTCATATTTAAAAAGCTGACCTGAGCATATCATTTTAATTTTAGGCATATTGGTGACTGAAAAATTGTCTTTTCTGAGATTTCTTGGGATAAGGCTACACTAAAAATGACCTCGCTTGGTGCTAAGAGCCAATCTACTCGCTAAGTGTTTAACCACGGTGAAACAGATCAATTGAATAGGATTCTTGTTGGATGTTTATGCATAGTTTCTCTAAACTTAGCATAAAGTGAGACTCTTTGGCTTCCTACATTTTTTTCTATCTTTTGTAGCGTGACATTAGTCTTTAAGCATTAAAAAAAAAGCATAAAGCATTTGTATTTCGAAATATTTCTCGTTTAATACTTTCTCGGAAATCTTACCATCAGCGTTGCAAGAAGGTACGAGATCCGGCCAATCGCATCTAGAGATTTCTGGGTTGAACGCCAGACCAACAGGGCAGGTCATCTCTATAGCGTGGCCTTCAACACACATCCTGTACGCCCCGCACTGCTCAACCTTAGCTTGCGCCGATGGGAAGAATCCATACTGGTGTGGACATTCGCTGGTCGAGCGAGCTGGCTCTGTGTAAAAAATCATTGTGAATGGCTATAGTGAAGAACGATAAGAACTTTAGTGGGATAAAGGACAAGTGGCAATGGTAAAATATTTATGCGACGCTACCTCGGCGCTGTCATCTATATCTCGTTGGGGACGTCGATATGGCGGTGATGGCCGCGGTCTCAATTCTTTAATTTTAGAAGCGTTTCTTTTTTCTTCTTAAAACTTTTTTTTTTACTCTTTCGAATCTAACATACCATCCTCTTTTGCAAATCGCTTGCCGGGAGGCTGGCGTATTTTGATACACTATCATTGCGTTTGGACAAAACGACCAATTAGTAAAATAAGTGAGATTAGGTGGAGTCATTTGCCTACCGCATCTGGACTATTTCACCACTTTAACATCAGGTGGGATTCAGTTGCCTGCCTAGTTATATTTATAAAAAACAATTGCAGATGTCTGTTCCTAAGATCTAGTAGTTTATTTATAGGCCGTAGTAGTCCAGAAAAAAAACAAAGTTATCCTATAAGGGTTCTGTTTTTTTTGAGGTACGGAACCTTAAAAATATGTAAGGACAATAAAAAAAAATCTACACTTACGAGGGGGTCCTCTTCCTTCACATGACACGTCCATGGGATAACCGCAGGGGTAGTTAGGAAAGACCGCCTTCGGATCAAAGTGGAGCCCATCTGGACACTGCATCTCCTTAGCTTGGTAGTCCTGTAATGTACAGCAAGAATTTAAAAAATCGAACCGTAATCGAACATTGACTTATTGAGTCAATCTCAAATGGACTATAAGTACACAAAGCTCCATAATCTTTTGTAGGTGTTAAGTTTTTTCCTGGGAAGTAGGTAAAGGTATTTATTTTATTAGGGATAACATACAGTTGTACAAATATATTTTAAGTGGAGGCTTACAATTATGTTATACTTATTGTACAACCAACAACATTATCCACAGATTAATACTAGGATTGTTTTGTTTTATATATTTCTATTATTCTTCTTCTATACTTAAAGAAAAATATGTTGTACACTACACAAATAAGTGTCCAGTAGAAACCAAAAACTGGTCGAGGCGTACCAAGGTAATACACATATTATACTTATTATTATTTATAGGTATTAATTTAATCATAAGAATCTTGTCTATACGATCTATAGTAAACTGTAAAACATAAGTAGGACTCCATTACTTTGACTTTTGACGACCTCCGTGGCCGAGTACCTAGTTTGTACGCCAGGTTTCAAGGTGTCGCTTACTCGAGAGGTCCCGGGTTCGCATCCCGGTGGGGGCAGATGTTTGTGTGATAAACACGAGCATTTGTACTCAAGTCATGTTTACTATGTATTTCTATATACATGTATTCTATCCGTTACCCTAGTATCCCAAAACACAAGCCTACTTTGGGGCTAGGCTAATTGGTGTGAGTGTTGGAAATATTCATTTATTATTATTATTATTGTACCCCAAGCACGAACTCACGAAATACAAATATTTGATATACGAGACAAGTTAAGCTGTTCACTTATAACTATTAATGATAATCCACCGAAAACCGATATTTCGAAATATAGTCAAGCACTTTAAGTATGCGCTCGTGCCGCCGTGAGAGGTAATGCGGCGGTGACAGCAGCGCCCGTTACCGTTTAGTCGTGGATTTGCAGTTTACCCACATAATAAGAAATACTATGCCTGAACAGACACCATATTATAGTATCGAGCAGAAAACGGCAAAAAACTCGTAACCTGTATGGGAGCTCCCCTTAAATATTTATTTAACAACAAACGATGACAAAGCTACTTTGTCAAAGCAGAGTTGAGCATGTCAACGCGACTTTAGCTTACATAGAAACTTTGTTCGATTACGGATCTTTCAAAGTTCGTGCTTGGGGTACTGATAACAAATTACAACTTTGAATAGAATACAAGGACGGCCACTAATAAAGATGAGAAGAAAAAGAATAGAACACGAAACAAAAGATCTTATTCATCTTTGAGTGATAAGTAACGGATAATTTGAATTTGCATTTACATCCGCTGTTATTACCCTATTCCAATTATTTACTAGAGATCTTGCCGAAAAAGTTTTTATTAGGGCCTGATAAAATCAGTTTTCTTACCCGACATTCAGTATAGGAGTCACAGTCTTCGCCTCTGTTGTAGTAGCCATTTCTTGTTTTGCATAATGGATTTCTAGGGGGCATATTTGTTTCTTCGGCTTGGCCTGTCGTATTGAATAAAATAAATAAACAAAAAATATTCATATACATTAAATGCTCAAACTTGTTTTTAAAATCAAACACTCCACAATGGCTAAATTAATAAAAACCGGACAAGTGCGTGTCGTGCTCGCGCAGTGTAGGGTTCCATAATTGCTCGTCGTCACCACAATATATTTTGGAAAGAGTCTATATTTTAAGCATTTACTTCGTCTAAGTCACTTTAAATATTCTTATTTAAATATTATTCTTTAATATTTAATATTCGTTCTTTTAAGGAATTTTTATTAGGTTAGAAATTTTCTAATACATAAGTTGAACGACTTTTACTCCTGATATAACAAATCTATTATAACCGTTATAAAGCACTATTAACATGATTTTTTGCAGATTTTTGTAAGCCAATAGTTTAGCTTTTAGAGTAGTGGGGGGGCTTTACACGAACAAAAATTTGCACTTTAAAGTCAAATTTCGCGCACGAATCCCTAAATCGAAAAATAGTCCTTGGAACCCCGAAGTAATTTTAAAGGCCCTATTCAATGATACCTTACACGATGGGGTATACGATGCAAAATTAAATCATCTCCAGGTTACGTGTAGGGCAGCTACCCTAAATAAATATCCAAAACAGGGGACGGACAGACGGACATGACTAAACTGATATTATATGAGGTTTCCTTGTCAGAACTACGGACCCCTTAAGCGGTACTAAAGTATGTTACTTAATTCACTATATCAATAATTTCATATTAGGTACAAAATCCACCAAAAACAATTGGCTATTTGAAAATAGGAGCTTCACAAAAATTAATAAAAGAACACAATTAGCTCACTAAAAACCAAAGTTTACAAAACACGCGAGAACAATTGCATACTTACATGCTGCCATTAAGATTAACGCAAAACTAAGATAACGTAACATCTTTATGTGTACTATTTGGTTTTCTTTAAAGCTATAACAGCGAAAATGATTTTAAGATACCTAATGAAGTTCATTTTATACAAAAATATGTCATCAATATCAAATCAGAGTTCGTTCAAGATCGTTAACGACAAGTCATGTATTTGTGGCTTCGAAGTAATTAAAACGATATTTATTTAATTATAACGGTTTTTATTTCTTGAAACTTATTATGTATAAAAGCTAAAATAAATCAAAAGTACCTACTGTTAGAATCAAAAATTTCTCTTCAGTTGGACGTATGTACATTCGTTTTAGGTTGTGTGATGTTGAGAGTTTTGAGAGATTTGTTAATTAATAAATCTACTTGTTTTTTTGTCATGGTCTCTGTGTGTCGTACTTTTCACTTACAAACAATACATATTTGGCAAATCGGTAACATTTATATTAACTTAATGACTGGGGCATTAGACTAGGCGTCTTAACGACGTCCCTGTGGCACGATGTCATAGATAGTAGAATTAAACTAACGAAAACTAGAATCTTCTTTTCTGTTGTGGTGAAGATTTTACAGTTAATTCTTTTGCTAGTCTCTGTTTCTCGTCCTCCCTGGATCGGGCGGCTGCTGCCTTTAGTTCATTGGGGCAAGCTGCTACTTCATCAGCTGAAACGCAGCTGGACGTGAGTTCATCGAAGGCATTGTCTCCACCGCAGCCGAGGACTCGGGGACGCCCATCGATACAAAGGAAATATTTCTGGCAGTTAACGTCAGATCTGGAAATGTATTTACAAGTTTAGATTCTATATTCAGTCACATATTTTACAAATCAGATACTTTTAATGAGGATCAGGAGATATAATTTTAAATATTATATTCTGCTGGTGGCCGAGTGATGCAGCAAAATATAGGTTAATTTTAATAGACGTTGAATTCAGAAATTTACTTTGATCAAAATTCAATAAATCAACTGAAATGTCATATTGCCTAACAGTGAAAGATACTGTAATTTATAGATTTATTTTGATCTCATTATTCTATTTCATTGACCTTCTCACATTCTTGCTCAGTTTTTAAAGCGAAGTTAAGGTTAATTCAGCGGCCAATCGATCTCAAAAACGATTGCCAAATTTCAAGTAGATAATGCCGTCATTAAGGTGTGGTCAAGAATATGTTATTTATATTTTTGTCTAACACATGTAATTATTCATCATCTACTTAGCGCTTCTGATTCCACAAGGGATTATGGTAACAAACTAATGGTGTTAATCAACCTTTAAGCTTGAATCCACTCTGCGTTAGAAGGATGTAAATTATAATGAAATCGTATTCAAGTTAATATGGGATGGGAGCATCTCTGCCTAAGAACGAGGTTACATAACACAAGGTCGCCAATCCACTGACATTTAACACTTGACCGGTCGACCATTAGCTAACCAGTTCTTAGTCCGTATTGTATCAAATATCAAGTAAAACGATTATCGTTGCATATGAATCTCAGAGTTTACATTGGTACATAGTTAAGTATAGTATATATCTAAAGATCACAATGTTCCATGTTGTGAATTTTTGCAATGTGTACTTCGGAATAAATACTGACTTAAGTAATTTTTATTCAAGTATGTGACAAAGTATTAATTCATTTGATAAAAACTTATGTAAATTTGCATGCTACCTCCTTCTCTTCTCTTTCACCTATTAGCTGAATAGTTCACCTACAGTGTGGTTATATTTGTGACCTTCATTACCCTGTTCAAACGAAAATAAATAATTATTCTTCTTCCAAGTTCTTACTCTGACTTTTGGAGAATAACAACTTAATGTCCATCGAAATACTTTGTATAACCAGAAAGAAAAGAAGAGAAAAAATGTATAAATAGTTCATAAGACAATTTATATACATATAGAAGAAAGACACTTGACCATTACCTATAAAACCTGTATCCAGCTGGAGCACCCAGTTCCTTTGATATGGGAACATCTGGACAACGGAAGCCAAGGAAAGCTGAAAATAATAAAATAAAACATATCACAGCAGTAGTTTTTGTCAGTTGAATACATAATGGAAAAATATATGTTATTGATTGTATCTAAGTAGTATTGGCTTTTTCCGGCCACTAAGTTTGCATTAACTTTGGAATTACATCCAGATCTAGAGAAATGATATTCGAAACACGATACATGAAGCGAACCCAAATGTTTATTGATATACTAAACGGCTGCCCGCGACTTCGTCCGGATTTAACTTAGTTTTTCGAGAATCCCTGAGGAACCTAGCATTTTTTCGGGATTAAAAGTATACTTTATCCAAATCAAGGCAATAAACTATATATCATCCAAATCCGTTCTGCCGCTTTTGCGTGATTGAGTAACAAACATAAGAACTTTCACATTATAAATATTAGAAGGACTAAATTCGACCCTTTGTGCATTTATTTAAATTTTTTGTATTTAAATTTTTTGTATATATCATAGATTTAAGGAAAATTCTGTTCACAATTTCAACTTTATGTCCAATTGTTTGGGCTAGGCATTGATGAGTCAGTCAGTCCTTGTCGTTTTATTTCGAATATGTTGTATAATGAAATATCTAAAACAAAGTTATACCACGTAAGTATATTTACATTTAAATTCAAACGTCATCATAACAAGGAAAAGTTTTATTAAGGTCGTTGAAGTCTTTTATATTGTAAACAGATTGAAGTTTTCGATGTCTAGATTTAATTTTAATTTAGAAGGTGACATAAAGTAACATAAAGTAATATAATCGACGACCTCCGTGGCCGAGTGGTATATATATACGCTGGGTTTCATGATTGCCAACTCGAGAGGCCGGGTTCGAATCCCGGTGGGGGCAGATGTTTTTGTGATGAATACGAGCATTTGTACTCCACTCATAGATGTTAAGTATGTATTTTCTATATAAATATACTTATATATGTATCAGTATATGTATTCTATCCGTTACTATAGTATCCCACAACACATGCCTACGGTGCTTACTTTGGGGGTAGGCTAATTGGTGTGAGTGTTGGAAATATTTATATTTATTTATTTATGATCTTAGTAATAAATTATATCGGTAGGGTTAGGGTAAGCAGGCCACGATACTCGTTGCTGTACGGGTCTATAGGGTATGGACTGGATAATGTACTAGCCATCAGTTTTGTCAAATGATTCTCATTTCCTAGCTGAAGTCTAGTTAAACTTAATATAAAATATACGCCATATAGGTTAGTAAGTACATGGCAATCATTTAATAAAGAGGTTATACGCGTTTTTTTTATAGATGGCAAATTATGTTCGGCGCTCCTAAAGTAGTTAGATATTAATAGTTTGCAACAGTTAAGTATTGGGCTAGACCTGTTTTTATTTGACATCGGAAGTCTTATGCATAATATGCAAAAACATTAAAGTGGAACATGTTTTTCTTACTGGATTTAGAATTAAGTACACACCTTCAGCGTCACAATCGGCGACGGTGTCCGGCCACTCGCATCGGTACGTCTCCGAGCTGAATGCCAATCCCTCGGGGCAGGTGAGGTCGTAGCCCACGCCATTCACGCAGGTCCTGAACCCGCTACAGTTCCTGGCGTCGCCGAGCTTGAAGTAACCGAATTGGTGGGGACAGTCCTCTGTCGGCTGAGGGGGCTCTGGAAACCATTTAAAGTTAGGCGGTGGGACAAAATTCCACTTTACTTTGCAGGGTGCGTGGCGACTAGCGTGGCCAGCCGTCCCGTATTTCCCGCCAGAGCAGACTCTGTCCCATTCCGGTAGTTCAACATAATTCGCTTAAAATGATGCACCATTTTTTTTCATATCGTTAGTCTTTAATATCCCTAGTTGCAACTGCTTTGCAGAAAGGATTTTTTTTCCGATGGCCTTAAAATAGACTGTATGTGCGCAACATAATTATGTACTCCGGATTTGAAAAAGAGCGAATTAATTACCATTTTAAAGTATGATTCTATCTGCATTGAGTTTAAAAATATTTTTAGCCAAACAAATAATGTTAAAACTAAAACTTACACGAACTTCTTTGAAATATAATCAACTAGCAATGAAAACAACGTAAAAAAAAACATTTGTCTAGGGGATTTTTTTTAAATCCTTTTTTTGGGCAAAATGAGCATTTGTCCCTTACAGGGTCAAAAAACTGGCAATCCTAGTGATTGTGATGGAGCCATATGCGAGGTTGCGGGAGTGCAGATATGTATCTCTGCATGTAGGCGCGTCATATGCAACATTGCGCGTGAATGCGTTTTAGTACAGTCAATCTGTCGAAAAAAATATCGTTTCAGTGAAAAAAAAACCTAAAGGGTAAGTCTTGTTTTTTCTGTTGCCAAATGACGTCAGTAAGCCACCTTGGCGATGGGCATGTTCAACTCGTAGGCGTTTTTTGAAAAACTCAAAAAAAACGTCAAAAGTTTTTTGAAACGCATTTTTCTTGTTTTGTATGCATTTCAGAAACTTTTTTTTCGACCATAATGGTAGAGGGCGTTGAGTGCTACAATTTATGTCATTGTTGCAATCTCGTACAACAAAAAATGCGCATTGTAGGTGGCGCTAAAGTCTCAAAAAAGTGTTTTTTCACTTTTTCACCCTGAAAATATCATTTTAATGGAAAACTTCAAATAGCAAAGTTGTTTCGTACATAATTACTAACAACTTTTGTATAAAAATTTTTTTTGTATTACTTACCGTTTTCAAGTTATAAATTGCGCAGGTATGAAAAATCCAATAGAGCGGTTTTGGGCCGTTCAAGTACACATTTGCAGTGCACATTTCAATGTACGTTTTACTATTTTTTATTTTTTTTCATGATTGAAAAACAAAAAAAAAAAAATAGTTACATTTTTATTTTTTTTCATGATTGAAAAAAAAATAGTAAAAACGTGCATTGAAATTTGCACTGCAAATGTGTTCTTGCACTGCCCAAAACCGCTCTATTGGATTTTTCATACCTGCGCAATTTATAACTTGAAAACGGTAAGTAATACAAAAAAATTGTTTATACAAAAGTTGTTGGTAATTATGTATGAAACAACTTTGCCATTTAAAGTTTTCCATTAAAATGCTATTTTCCGGGTGAAAAAGTGAAAAAACACTTTTTTTGAGACTTTAGCGCCACCTACAATGCGCATTTTTTGTTGTACGAGATTGCAACAATGACATAAATTGTAGTACTCAACGCCCTCTACAATTATGATCGAAAAAAGTTTCTAAAATGCATACAAAATAAGAAAAATGCGTTTCAAAAAATTTTTGACGGTTTTTTTGAGTTTCAAAAAACGCCTACGAGTTGAACATGCCCATCGCCAAGGTGACTTACTGACGTCATTTGGCGACAGAAAAAACAAGACTTACCCTTTAGGTTTTTTTTTCACCACTCAACCTACAGATTGACTGTACTATTTTCCTTGTGTTGCACTACGCGTGTTTCAATGCAAAGAGAGATACTTTGAAGCAATGTAAGAACACGCACTCCTGCGCTTCGCTGCGTTATGCGCTGCAGTGTGAATCTCCTAAGGTGATTTCGGGGATACATAAGGCAACAAATACATGTGAGCTTATACTATGTAACCTTCACGTCACCTTTTTGAGAGTATTACCCTATAACTATCCACTCCATTGCTTGAATCCAAAATATTTATTAATCTAACTCCAGTAAGACGTAGGCCTACTAGAACATTGTTGCCAAGATATTTTTATAACGTCTGGTTACGTTATTTATAACGTAACTGGTTACGTTATTTATAACGTAACTGGTTACGTTATTTATAACGTAACCAGATTATCCTTATCTTTTACTGAAGGTTGATTAATGAAACTAGCCGCAAAAGTTATTATTTAGGAATGGATTTAAAACTACTGGTTCGGAGGGAAATCTCTAAGTTGGCAACACTGCTATCATGCTAGATTAGCGCAATTTTAAGGCACTCACGTAGAGATGATCGCTCGAGGCATTGTACCTCGTTCGGGTATTGACAGGGGTACACGTTGAAGTTCACATTGGAGTTGAACAGTAGACCATCGGGGCAAAGTTTCTCTTCTGCGGTTCCATTCTACGAAGAAAAATAATAGTAAATAAATATTTTCAACACTCACACCAATTAGCCTAAAGCCAGCCGAAAGCAAGCCCTGTAAGGCTTGTGTTATGGGATACTAGGGTAACGGATAGAATACATATGCTATAGTATATTTATATAGAACTACATATTAAACATCCATGACTGGAGTACAAATGCTTGTATTCATCACACAAACATCGACCCCTACCGGGATTCGAACCCGGGACCTCTCGAGTCGACAACACCATGAAACCTGGCGCAAACCACTCGGCCACGGAGGTCGTCTACATATAAATAGCAATTTGAGAATTCGATTTTGAATCGTATCGAGTTCCTTCATGATTTGGAAAGCAGGTAGCATACTTGTTTCAGGTTGTATTAAAACATGTCGTAAGATGATTTGATAAATAGATTTTTTTACGAAAATCCTAGGGATTTTATGAAAACGCGGATAATTAGACACTGGCAAAGAAATTTCTCAATTTTACTGAGAAAAGATAGGATTTTTGGGAAAACGCGTGTCGCCTTAGTAAGATTGCGAAGAGAATCCATGAGAATCCATCCAATTCTCGGTTTTTGCTTCTTTAGTTAGTATTGTGACCAGAAAAAAAAATCGTTAACAGTAATATTGAGCAATGTTATCGACAATGACATGACAGACGATGGGTCTTATAATCCGTGCTCCGCGAAAATTCGATTTAGCAAATCATCCTACGATAATCACTGATTATTTCACTTACGATGCACTCGATATATCTGTCACAGCTTCCAGGCACGGGTGAGCGTTCATTCTTCTCCCGGCAGGAGCCAGCGCTTTGACCCCTGCTTGGTTGACTAGCGAAAGCACTTTGCTGGGGTTGTTGATATCTATTTTGAGTGCCGCCAAAGGCACTTTGTTGACTACCTCTTTGGTTGCCAAATGCGCTTGGTTGACTACCTCTTTGGTTTCCAAATGCGCTCGGTTGGCTACCTCTTTGGTTGTCAAATGCGCTCGGTTGACTACCTCTCTGTTTGTTAGTTGCGCTCTGTTGATTGCTGAAAGAGCTTTGGGAACTTCCAAATCTTGAGTTCTGTTGGAAACCGGAGTTCTGACCGAAGGATCCGAATTGCGCGTACGCTGTTTGAATAAACAATAAATTTAACGAATTCCAAACAAAGGTGAGCAGGTATCGTTGAGTTTTTTCAATATAATTTAAAATCTCTGTCGGTGATAAGATGACACGTCGGTTTAAATAACTTTACGTGTTTATGCAAATACCGATGCTTTATTATTCTTGTCAGCTTCGAAATTTTGAAGTCAAAGTAGATGCATTTTGCGCCTTACCTACATATTTTTTAAACTTGACATATTTTTTTAGTATTTGTAATTCATTGTAACAGATAAAGTGATAATTTTTCACGTCATCAAGTGTTTTTCATGTATATTTAGATTGGAGTATTTTGTTTTTTTATATTATTTCTTTGCGGTATTAAGTAATGTAAATATACTGTGTGACACGTTTTAATAACTGCTATTATACCTATTAAATTATTTTGGATGAAAATTTAAAAATGAAATTATTATTTTTGCTTTGAATACCTACATTTGATATTTAGTAGTTGTTATAACAATATGTCACTTTATTATATTTTTGTTTCAAGCATTAATCTGTATGATTAATAACATATATCTATAGAAAAAAAATACTAGTAAAAATTCTACGCGGTCTAAGTATCAGACAGGACACAAACCTGCGTCTTCCGCAATACGGGCGTAATCTGAATATGGTATTTACAAGAAATCACGAATTTGCTATATTTATGTAATTTATAAATGAATATTTTGTATTTTTTTTCTGTATAGAACCTTCGACTGGTTAGATAATGAATTCCTACGTACTACATCTACCAATAACTAGTATTAGTAGATGTGAAAAAAAAATGCCCATTGTTTAAAACAAGTGATGCGAGATTGGCGCTAATTAGTTTAAATATACTCTTGGTTTTAATTCTGTGCTATTGTCTTGATAACAGTAACCTGCTTTGTGTTTTAGCACGAGCTTACAAAACAAATGAATTAACCGATCCCTTAATATTATTCTTATTTACTATTAGATAGTAGTTAATGTAGTTGTTACTTCACTGTTGAAGAAAGTTTAACAAAAGTTGTTGAGTTTAACTGAGTTTAACGAAATGAACGGAATTTTGTTATAAATTAACTTTTAGTACATAGGTAAGTACAGAACTATATTAGATATTGAAATATTCATTAGCAGGTAAATCGGTACAAATCTATGACAATTATTATTCTTTAATGATAATATAAAGATGTAATTTTTTTTACTCAAACATTGTGGTTGCCGATACTGAATAACAATATTTCAGTATTGCTAATAATAATTTAAAAAGCGGACGTTTCAAAAGATTCTTTCATTATGCTTCAAATTTGAATAAAGAATTTTTGACTTTTCATATACAGCTTGGTAAGGACCATCCGTCTATCTGAGGATTTAATAGGGAAATTGAGTACTCACCAACGGCGCAAAAGCACGCCAGGACGATAAAGCTTCTCATAATCACAGCTGATGATGGACGTTCGCACTAAACTCTGGACAAACACAGAATGGCGTGTGGCGGGGTTTCGTGGTGGTTCGACCTTGGGGACAGACCAGAAGGTTGCGAAACGGCCCATCTCCGCCGCACCTCGTAACTTACATCAGGCGGGAGGTGACCCCAGTTTGTTGACGTGCTTACGAACTTTTACCAGGGCTGTCGGTGGACATTTGCTTGCTACATATATAAGTTTCGGCGGGTTTTAAGAGGGGAGGCGGGCAATGGTTTTATCACTAAAGAAATGATTTTCATACATAAAATACAATTTTATTTACTCTATGCTGCTTCCTGTCTTCCTTTTTTCGATAACTTGTGTTTCAAAGAAACTAGAAGCAATCGAAAAAGCTCAAAAATTATCATTTTTTTTATCATTTCTAAAGGCGTCTAGCGTAGAGATTTAATAAGCATTTACAAAAAAATCAACATAGGGGCATACAATTTAACTACTTATTATTCTATGTGTAAAATTTATTTTACATATATCTAATTTTCGAAGACGACATCATCGAGAGTCAAGCCTCGAATTTTGCAATTTTTATACGCAATTCTCAGCGTTAACTACTGTTGTCCTTATCGCACGGTATTTGCCAATGCGTGACAGCAATAGTTTTTTCAAATACCTATTTCTCAAATGTCTCTTAGCTCGCGTTCGCACTTAAGATTTAATAAAAATACTAGCTGACCCAGCGAACTTCGTTCACACCATAATAATAGGGGTTGATAGTCCAAGGGTGTAAATTTAGGGTTGTTTTGTATACATTGTTAAATTCCGAATAGAGAATTTAAAATTATATTTTTTGGGTTAGACCTCCTTTATCCCTTAGGGGTATGAAAAGTGCTTAACGTCGTATTCTCAAACCTATTGACACACAAAATTTCATAAGGATCGGTCAAGCCGTTTCGGAGGGTTTTTGCAACAGACGCTGAAACACGAGAATATTTTATATTAGAAACAAAAATTTCCTTGAAAGAATACATTATAAGATTATGTTTTTTATATTCAATGTACTTTAAGTTAAAATAGTGAAATTGTACAAAAAAGTTCAATCTAGTCACTCCAATTAACCATTTTGTTTGAAATTAGCAAAGTGGAGATGGCGTTTTATACACTAAATCAAAGATTATTTTAAGTTTTTTTATATTATTAATTAAAAAAACCATGATCTATCAGGATTTTTGAACAACCTTGATCTTTGTAGGAGAAGGCAGGTTCTCTGGCGGTACACCAAATTTTTTTTCAAAATCTTCTAAATAAATAAAAATAGTAAATTGTTGTCGCAGAGCAGACAACCCTGTGATCGATCGTTCGTAGATGGGACAAACAAATAATGCCTATCTCTTTACTGGAGTTATATTGGTAGTTTAGCATGGCTCTAGGTATTGCATAACAGTACCACCACAGACAGATCGAAATAGATAACGTAAGCGTGTGTATGCAGTTCGCGTGGCAAAAGGGAGACCAATAGTCTTCCTTTTGCATTAATTAATTTCTACACGTCACCGTTCCCGGTGACCGAAAAATATCGAAGTAAGTCATATTAAACCGTAAAACGATAAACTTAATTGACACATGAGGAGCTGGCGAACAAAACGGTATAATAATATAAAATTAAATTTTGCAGGAGCAGTAAAAAACTGAATGACATAAGTACCTACAGTGAGCTTTTGGCGTGATTTTTAATTTAGTAATGTTAACACTATTTTAGGCGGTTTTGATTGACGTGACTTGAAATTCAATTTCAGCTCGCCCAAAATTTCCGGGCTGTAAAAAAAGTAGTATATGGTCGAAATCTTATGCGTAATTATACGGTTTCGCCAGCTCCTCATGTGATCGAGGCCTGTGCTATTCACCACTTTATTTATTCTCGTGAGTACTCAAAATCTGACACGCTTGGTTCCCGCACGAAGAAAAAAAAATAGTCATCATCCCTATGATGATGACTAATTTATTTTTCTTCGTTTATCAGGTAGATTATCAAAAAGTATTGAACATTTTTATTATTTTTTCTTTTTTCAAATAATATAAACATTGCAGAGATATATTGATTTGAAAAGTGGGAGTGGGAGTAGATCCCAAACTTTGACGCGCTATAACTTTGTCATTTTTTGGTTGATTGCCCAAAGAAAAAATAGGTACGTGTCCATTATTTTTTGATCATCTAACTGACGGACTAAATAGAATTTCGTTTACTGTACCCCGTCATCACCCCTATTAGAAGTAAGTATTCATGCGGCGTCTACTTCAATTTAGTTCTGTGAGTACCACAATGGAAGTGTTTCACGAGGTACAAAAACATACTGACAGGCAGATGAATGGCGTAGTACTAAAGATGGTATGGGTGGTATTAGATGGATGAGTTGTAAAAAAATCTATATATAATTTTGACAAAAAGGAACAGTAAATTATACAGATATTTGCGTAAAAAACTGGTAATTATTATTTTGATATCTTTATATAAAAATAACGTAGGCGTAGTAATTTCAAACATTTGAAATATCTACTATGAGTCTAAGGTAATGTTATATAATCTAAGAAAAATCCGGCATGACACCTGGGCCGAGTTTAATTTATTTAATATAATAATTATTTTTTATGTAAATCATGGAAATGACCCGTTTGAATGAATACAGAGTGTATTGAGATAAGGATTTTGATTTCTAAGTCAAAGTTTTGTTTCTTGTATATGTAAATCTCAATAAAACTACATATATTGAGCTTTCAGTTCCTCGGGTATCTAAGACGTGTACGAGGACTTATTTATTAGGTGTCTACCTATAAATTCTTAGAAATGCTTTAATTAATTCTAGGCGTTTGATACTCAAAGGAGATTGCTCAAATTGGCCCAAATGCACAAAAAATATTGACATATACGGTAATTCTTGGCGTAATTTATACTTTATTTTACAGTCATTAGATTTTAACGGCTATGGGTGTAGTAACATTCAGCCAAAGACTGATCGAAGTTGTTTATATAACATAAAATCAAATCTATTTTGTAAAGGTCGATAAAATAAAACATTTTTTTATAACACTGTGGTATTAATATCCACAACTATATTATCATTTTCACTACATGCAAATGTGCTACGACTATTATTATAGATGGTTGGCGACATCATAAAGTCTATTGCCATACATTTTTCGCCAAACACCTCCATAAACACATTATAAGGTGTGATACACTAAAAATCTAAAATATGGTTATCTTAAAAACATAACAAAAATAATGAAGCTACTGAAGATACGGCTGTATAACCTAAGCTCTTAGGTTTCTTTGGTTAACGAGAGTTTAAAAATTCTCTCTAATCTGTGGCTCATTCACAATCATCACGCAGTTTCTGTCACAGAGTACCTTCCTTAATATAACCGGAAATGCATAGATAAACCAGATTTTTAAAGTTACTCTTGTGCATTAACTTTAAAACAGGCAACTATCGGTTAATCTTCTGAATCTAATACATAATTTCGGTACTTGGCTTGATTTCCCTAGTTTACTATATAACTTATTTGTTTTATATTATTTTAATACCTATGTACCTATTTGCAAACATAACCTTAAAATCGTGCAGTGTGTATGGTTTATAGAAGTTCTCAGGGGTGTCCGTTAATAATTTTTGTTTCTACAGTAATTTATTTATAATTTCGAATCTAGGAAACAATTTTTCATGATTAATTGGTCTTTAGGCCAAACATGTATGGAAACTGAGCAATCTCCTTTGAGTAGGGCTGGTTTTAAAGAATTATTATTTCGATGAAATGTTTTTCGAATTATTATTTTATTCCATTTACAACTTTGTGCAACTTTAGTACGGTAATGCATAAAAATGTTATTTCAATACCTAATAAGAGCCAATCGAGTACAAACAGAGCAGGGGTTCTAAAGAAAATGACTAAAACATCTTAAAAGTGTCCTGATTTACGCATTCCATACAAAACTAACATACCTATAAGATTAATTAAGTACCTACTTATTTCATTTGTTCTACTTCATGGTTCCGTATTCATCCTATGACGTCTCATCCAAAGCATTATTTTTTTCCTTACTCAACCTATTTTTGTTCCATACTCAACCCTCGAAAATTAATTTCATCCTAAAAGTGTGTGTTTCTGGCTCAACCCATCGCAAAATCACGTAAAACATTTCTTGCTTCAGCTAAATAGTGAATTGATAACATGTCATGTCCACATAATATCTGACTTTTTGCAGAATACTTAAAACAATGAGAACTGATTTAAGAATGCACACATGACAGGCAACTACTGGATAGAAATACAGATATTGTTATCTCTTTCACTCCTGCACATAATAATTATTACAAAAAAAATGGATGCGTGTAACTTATGTACGCGCGTGAGAAGTTATACTTCTTTAGCATCATTAAAAATATTTTTAATTGCATGCAAATAATTAATAATTACAATAAAATAATAAAAGGACTGGAAAAGGATAGTTAACACAGTCAATTAAGTTCAGTTTTAATTTGAAAAATTAAATAAATATTCAAAATATTCAATTAAAATCACTACTGAATTTAAGTTATTAGTCCATATGTAATTAGCACTTGTAAGTAACTAAAACACGTTGTGTCTATATAGAAACTAGAAACATGTGGATAAATATTATAAATATGAAAACAGTGATCAGAGGCGACGAGCGTGCCAACATTGTTTTTGACAACGCGATCATCTTATGGAGCTCCGTGGATCGTTCAAAGTACCTTTCGAACAGATGTTTAATAATGGTGGATTATTAACCACTAAGTGGTTAATAATCCACCATTATTAGACACTAACATTCATAACGCGCCCGCGGCCAACTTCATGGTGTTACTATTGTGTTACAGTGATGCGCGCGCATCTCGAAATTTCACTCACATGATTTTTTCATAACGCGCCCGCGGCCAACTTCATGCTGTTACTTTTGGGTTACAGTGATGCGCGCGCATCTTAAAATTTCACTCTCATCATTTTTTCATAACGCGCCTAAAGAAGTATAACTTCAAAAACAGATACAACATCACGAACAAAATCATGGCCGAAACCTGTCCAGAAGTTATGTTGGACGATCCTCGGAGCTTCGTGG